AAGCCAAGGAGAGGAGGCAATTATGCACACGTCACATGCATCCTAGTTTCAGTATGAAGCTTACATTTCAAACCTGAGGTTAGGAAAAGAACATGAAAAATTTTACTACAAAGTCTAGACAGGAGAAAGATATAAGAGGAGGGGGAGGAAGCACATTGCAGGTGTCAGATAATCTAGTCTGATTATCTGAGCTGTGCTAGCTATAGGGGAACACTTACCCTTCAGTCCAGCTAGAAGTTAGCAGGGTAAGAAGGAACAAACCAGAATAACATAAAGACTAGCAACAAGGCTCAGGAAAGCAGACAGGAGTTCTAACCTAGCAGCTAAAGTTCTTGGGTTTGAGCAAAGATTGAACAAGAAAACTTAAATGAAACAAAACAAAACAAAAACAAAAATTAAGCCCTCCCCCCAAAAAACCAACAGTAACCAAGACCCCTCTAACTGTGGAAGACTGTTCAGGTGGAAGCAAAAACAGAACAATTCTCAAAAACACTGAACTTTGGGGATCTATGATGTGATAAACAATTATTAATTGCAAAGCAGACATTAAAGTGAGACTCGTTGCAAGTGATATAGTAATCAATTGACCAAATACAAAGCTTAAAATGCCACCCCCTCCCCTCTGAGGTCTGATTTTCTCCATTCCTCTGACACAGGGATCAGGTGTCTCCATAAGAGGCCACTGGCATAATAAATTGTGGCAACATTCAAATACAGAGTTGGACATAGTTTCCAAGGTAAGCTCTATTGGCCTTAAAATTGGAGAATTGCAATTAGTTGTTAAAAAAAAAAAGTTGCTTAACTAGGCACTGACTTAATTTTTCTCAAATTTTAACCGAAAAGTGGGGGGGATTAAATCAACAACATCACCACACATCAAAAAAACCACAAAAGAACAAAAAAGTTAAGGTTTGGTGGAACCCTCCCAAAATCATTGTAGAGTCATACAAACTAATGAATAGCAGGATCTATTTTTTTCCGGTATTTACAGTTGAATATAAATACTCCACTCCACTCTTTCTTAGACGTGTCTTTTCATTCTGAAATTGAGCTTTTGAGATTGCAAAAACTAAAAACTGCACCCAGAAGTTCGTTAAACTGAATTTAGAAAGACCCAAATAAACTCACAATTACTCCCAAGTTTCCCAATCTGTAAAATGTTCCATTCTTGAGTTTCCCTTGAACAGACAGTGACGTGACAGGACTGGAGTGTTTATTTTTTCTACCCCAAAAGTCCTCCCATTTATCTGTAGCTTCCCTTTTCCATGGAAATACTAACAAAGTAATTGCAAAGTTAACTCATTGATAGACATTCTTAAGAATTTTTTACTTGCAAGAATGGTGAATACTTTGAACATATATTCAAAGACAGGATTTGATGAGGTGTGTATAGAATAAAGTATTTAACAATGACCCTTACCTGTCGGAAGTCAAGGAAACCTTTTTAAAATGCAATACTTGATTGTTTTGACTCTTTTTGTTTGAGAATCTGTGATTGACTTTAAGTATGTAATGAGACACAAAGCAAATGGGTGTGGAGATTGAGAAGGTGCGTGGAAGATCAACATTTTCCACCTGTTACTGTGCTGGGATTGTTGTTCATTTCCCTATAAGCTGGCTTTGTAGGACCAGGTGATCAGTCTGCACCAGCTTGCCCAGGACTGAGGACACAGGCCTGGGGACACAGGATTTGGTGCTAAAACCAGGGAAGTCCTGTGCAAGTTTGGATGAGTCGGTTGCCCTTAGGTTTGACTGATCTCTTTGATAGTGATAGTTTAAATTTAACAAATAAAATGCAGCTGTGAAGTGATTGTGATGTAAGTCCCATAAAATTATGACCCCTAGAATTTTGGGGGTATAGGTATAACCACTCATAGCACCATAGAATGTAACATTCCTGGTTCCCTTTTTGATCTTTCTCATGTGTTTCATATACTTGTAACTGTAGGTAATCAGGTGAGGAGCTGGGTTGGTTGAGTCCTGACCTGTTATCTCTGTAGGCTTCTAAGTTGTGGGAGCAGACGCCTCACTGGCTGGTACCCTGAGATAGTGAAGTGCCTGAACCAGCAAAGAGATTGAATCTGGGGTAGTATTGAGGCTCTGTTTCCAGAGTAGTAAAGGAATTATGGGGTTACTGGGTTCAACACTGTTGGCTAAGCTCTGGGTAAGGATTGCCACTTATTACAGGGTGGTGGTGTGCTGGTGTGTAGATTGGGCGCTGCACAGATCCATAGGGGCCGTTCACAGTTGTGTCTGTGTGGAAACGTCTCCCCCAGCGCCCTGGGCCTGGCTGGCAGTGGTGGCCTTGTTCTTACAGAACCTGGTGGGTGTGGTTGGGCCTCACACTCTTTGGAGAACCCTGTTCTTGGGCAGCCATTGAGGAGGCAATAAAGAAGAAGAAGGTGGCTGCACCAGCCAAGTCCTGATAAATCCCAGAGGCATGAGTTATATGACCTCACGCATCTCAAAGCCTGCCTTCCACACTCTCTAATAAAAGTTTCTATGTGAATGGGGAAGTGACATACATCAAGCTCCTGTGTAGCCAACCGAGTCTTCCTACTGATGCCGATGACTAGCACTTCAACTTCAAGCCAAATGAGTCCTGCCCACAGAGGGAAAGCTAAGTCCAGAGCCCCTGAGTGTTTCCATGAGGAGACAGCCATCCACAGCTCCCATCAGCCGCCTTCTTGTTTTATCATTTTACTCCTGAACATCCTTCCTCTTTCCTATTCTAGTGAGGAAATAGTGGGATAGACACAAGCCAAGTAATGTCTTAATCAGGGCAGATGAGAGAACAGACACACTGGATGTAAGGTGAAATGACTTCAGGAAAAAAAAAAAAGGAGATTATTTGGAAATAACACTTGAATTTTCCAAATATCACCTGATATATACATGTTTTATGAGATTGAATGGAATGTAGGTTATAATTAGGAAACTTTTCTGCTGATATACCCCTTTCAGAGGGCGTGTTATTTCCAAATGTATTAAAAAGGAGCCTGTTGGATCTGGATTGTATGGCTCAGTGGTTGAGCATTGACCAACCAATCAACCAAGAGGTCATGGTGAAATTCCTGATTGAGGCACATGCCTGGATTCCAGGCTCCATCCCCAATGAGGGATGTGCAGGAGGCAGCATATAAATGATATTTCTCTCAAATCACTTATGTTTCAATCTCTTTATCCCTCTCCCTTCCTCTCTCTTTAAAAATCAACAAAAACATATTTAAAGAAATATATTTTTAAAAGGAGCCTGTTGGGCAAGGTGAGAGGAGGAATTCCACCGCATAGTTGTGTGTGTATTTTTTTAATTAAATAAATATTGGATATGATTTAGCTCAACTAACAACTAAAGAGTTAAAAAAAAAAAAGAAAGAAAAAAAGATGATGCCTGTTCTCTTTATCGCTATGAAAACCGAATGCCACAAGAAAAAAGTGGGGACACTGGGGTGGTTATAGTCAGAAGGGCTGTCTCTTTTCCGCATTCCCTCCTCAACCTTTTCCTCATTGTTTTGGGATTTTTGCATGGAGATCCACAATGGCTGTGTGATTACCTACAATGTTCCACAGGGAATTCATCTTCCTTTAAGAACCATCAGTATTAGACAGAAATTCCTGGGAGCATCAGATTAATCGTATTTGTCATCCAAAAAGAGCTTTTCCCCATCAGCGAAGGTGTTACAAGGTTTAAGAGGATATTCTCATTAGACAGAAATGGACATGGCAGTGGAATTCATTGGCAAGAGCATTTATCTCTATTTAACTGTTGTAGCTGCAAAATTATTCTATCCTTATCCTCATTTCGTTTAAGAGCAACTTAAGGAGAGGAACTATGTCAGAGCACTGTGCTAACAGCCAGGTTTGTGCTGTGGGCCTTTACACTTGCTTTCCCTTCTGCTACACTTCTGCTGTTTGTGAGACTGACTCCCCATCATTTGGATTTATACTCAGATAGACTGTCCAGTGTCTCCTCTCCTCACTCAGTCACTGGGCATGCCATTCTTCATGGTATTTTTCAGTGTCTGAAATGATCTTATTTCTTTACTGACTTGCTTGCTATGTAGATGCCTCCACTGGGATGCAGGTATCCTGAGAGCAGGGACCTCGACTCTCTTTCTCATTAGGGTGTCTCATCACCTAGATAGTTGCTCAGTGAACCAGATGGAATGGGTGGATTCGCCATGATTATAGCTAAAAGGACTTTTCCCTAACCTATTTCTAATTGCCTTTATAATCAGGGAAAGGTGAAAGCTACTGTTTAGGGTCAATGTTTGTGATAAAAATGAATTATTTTATTGGGTGGTTTATGTTTCCAGTGTTGCCATCTTCTCTGTTTTAAGCCGAATTTCACCTGACCCTGAGCATCAGAAGGCTTGGGAGAAAAAACAAACAAAACAAAACTCTGCTAGTAGCAAGAAGACATGGCAAAGAGGAAAGAAATTAAAATGCATGTAGAAGTAAGAGGAGAAGAAATTGGAAGAGAACAGAGGCTATTTAAGGAGATAGTTTCACTTTTGGGGGCTGTGTTTTAGCTCAGAATGGGATTTTAGGTACCCTGGTTTTTCTGTTTCCACTGCATGTGGTAATGTCATCATTTATTTTTAAATGGTCTGAGTTGCAGATTTATATTATTTTTTCCAATTAAACCCTATTTTAATAGGAAGAAATGAGGCAAGGACATGCATAATCTCCTATTTTTGAGGGACTCAAGCAAATACATGTTTGATTGTGAATTCCAAACTCTCACAAAGAGATACAAATCCATCTAAATATACTTCCCTTTGCTTAGTCCTTAAAGTGTCAAGTATTGCACTTTAAAATTACTTTCATTTAACATTTTGCCCCAATTTTTCCCCCTGGACTCACTGTGTTGTTGTTTCCCCGCACCCCAGCAAACATGATTTTATGAATCTTTCATATTAAAGCAACTAGGTTCTACTAATTCAGCTTTGGAGATTGCCTCTACAGAACTATTTCGAGCAAATGGCAGATCTACTTACAGAATTGGGATATGGGGGCATCCAGCTGGGGCACGTTCCCTCCCTTGGCATTGAGTTTCTGCACTTGGGTCGGGGGCACAGGCTTGTGTGACTGCCCGGTGGCCCGGTACATGGCTTGGACCCACAGGATGCGATCTTGCTCGTCATCACTTGCAAATATCACGGTGTCTCCTTCTTTGACTGCATTGAAGAAGGCTCGACCACCTTCCAAACCTGGAACAAAAGGAATAAAAATGACTGAGCTGAGCTCAATGTTCTTGGCTGGACTGAGAGAGGTGGATTCTGCTGCTTTTCCTTGGGCCAGAGAGGGCGAGAGCAATTAATTGTCTGATTTTAGTGGGAAGAAAGGCTGCCCCCACTCGGCCAGAGGGGGCCCATGATGGTAAAGAGGCAGCTTTGAGCAGGACTTCTGTCTCTGTCTTTGTCTGGGGCCAGAATTATCAAGCGGCTGCCTCCTGGCTGGGTAAACGTCTGCCTATACATATACTATTATTTTCCTCATCTTTCACGCAAATAAACAACAACAAAAATAGCTCTTATCCCATATGTCTCCCTTCTCCTTACTGCAGCAGAAGATATCTATCAGGGTTGCTCAGATTTTAGTGCAGATGCGAGTCTCCTGGGCATCTTGTTAAAATGCAGCTTCTGATTCAGAGTCTGCATTTAGAACAAGTTCCAGACCATGCAAGGACCAAACTTCCAATACTGAGGGTCTCTTTCTATTCTGCCCACAGCCCCTCCAAGCAGGCTATTGCCCCACCAAAACTGACAAGGTCCCCAGTGACTTGTTGAATCTGATGGTCAATTCAAGGTCCTTATTTTATTCCATCCATCTACTCATCAGCCAGATGTGACATGCACTCCATTCTTTCATTCTCTTGGAAATGCTTTCTTCACTTGGCTTCAGTTCACCTGATTTCTTCCTCTGCCCTGGCTGATGCTCATCAGTCTTGTTTGGGGTCCTCCTTTACTCCTTCCTCTTAAATGTTGGAGCATCTTGGGGTTTGTGTTTGGACCTCTTCTTTATCTACACCCTGTCTTCCAGTGATGCCATCCACTCTCAAATACCAGGAACATGCTCATGGTCTCTAAACCTCCACCCTGGACGTCTCCATTTGAATTGCAGGCCTGAATGGTTAATGTTTTTTTTTTTTTACTTCTCCATGTGTATTATATACAATACCGAACTCCTGGTCTTTCTCCCAAATGCCTCCCCATCTCAGTAAAGCTAGTGCATCTCTCTAGTTGCTTAAGCCCACAGTTCACTTCATACTGCTTACTTTCTCTCACTACTCACTTCCAGGGGAATTCTCATCAATTCTTTAGGACGTTATACCAAAACTTGGCCCCCTCTTTCATCCCTGGTGCTGCTACTCTGAATCGAGCCATGCTCACCTCTCATTGGGATTATTTTACAGCCTCCTCCCTGCTCTGTCTGTCCTCATTCTCTAGAGTTGAGGGTAATTGGTTGAGCACAACAGTCATGTAATGTCACTCCTATGCTCAAAGCCTGCCAGTGATTCCACATTTCATGCAGGAAAAGTCCAGGTTCTGGCAAGGCCTACAGGCCCCCATGAGTTGATCCTCCACTACTTTTACTCTCATCACATTCCCTCTCTCTCTCTCTCTCTCTCTCTCTCTCTCTCTCTCTCTCTCTCTCTCTCTCTCTCTCTCTCTCATGCACATATATGAACTCACTTCATGGTGGCCACGCTGGCCTCTTGTTATCCCTTGATCCACTCCAGATATGTTCTCACCTCAGGACCTTTGCACTTGCTGTTTCCTGTGCCTAGATCACTCTTCCTCTAGACGTCTGTAGGATTCACACTCTCACTTCCTTCATGTCTTTGCTCAAATGTCAAATTCTTGTTCGAGCTTTCACTGATCTTTCCCCTCTTTACTCATTTCTCTTAGCTTGCTTCCTTTTTCTCCATAGTTCTCATCACTATCTTACAAGCTAAATAACTTACTTTACTTCATAAGGACCGGGAGGTTTTGTCTGTTTTGTTCACTGATGTGTCCCTTGTACCTAGAATAGCACATGGCACGTAGTAGGTGCTCAACAGATACTTGTTGAGTGAATGAATGCTCCAAGGTCCATCATTCCCCAGAGGAAGTTCAAGGTTACCATTTAGAGTAAGGGAGGTGGAAGCCTGTCTGAACTCAGGCCACTATCTGTCAAAATATTCCAAAGCTGGTGTTTCGGGGTTACTGGGAACTCAGTGGCCAGATATAAAGCACCATAGCTTCATCAGGTTCCTTATCATCCCCCCAACTATCAGTTAAAACCGAGAGAATGATTGGAGTGATTAGCAGCCCCAGATTTCCAGCAAGGCTCAGCCACTAATCTGCTTGACATTTGGCACTGAGCTAGGTGACGCATGGACTTTGCCGTCACGTTGATAATACTAACCCAGAGTCCACTCCACAAGAGTTTGTATGTTCGCAGTTTTGCACTTAGAGTTTCAGGGATTCTAGAACAACAGGGGCTACTCCTTTATATGGAGCGTCTGATGGTACAGCAATTATCGTGAAAGATCTTGTGTAGTTATAAGTATGGGGGGAGATTTTTCCTAGTTTTTTTTTTTTTTTTTTTTTTTTTAAGGAGGGTTTGTTAGAATGTGCCAATTGGCTAGGCTAATGTACAGTGAGTGAGATGGGAAAACCTGATGTAATGGATGGATGACATGATAAGAAGGAAAATTCTGGAGGGCGCAAGAGAAAAGTGAAGATCTTTGAGGGATTGGAGCCCTGAGAAACAAGCAAGAAGGAGCTCAAAGGAGAGTGGCCATCAGACCTGCTGCAGAGCAGGCTCCTGTGGGAGGAGCTGCTCTGATCTGTCAGTGAATGCCGGTCCACACCACCTGCGGAACCTTCCCTGTTCCCTCCAACTCCCCTCCCCTCCCCCCCCAATGCTGTAGCTAAGGTCACAGTCAGCTCAAGCGTTGCCTCAAAGTGCAGAGGTAGAGAGAGAAGGAAGCCAGGAACTTTTCAGATTTGTATTTAGTCCTCCCAACAGCCCTCTGAGCTAAGTACATTATTCTCATTTTGTGAATGAGGAAATGGAGTCACAGAGAAGGCCATATCTAGCCCATGAACTCAAAGCAGGGCTTTGAGCATCAGAGGTGAGCTTCCGGTCCCACTATCTAACTTCAGAGCTGACGACTGTGACCACTGAGCAGGATGGCCGGGTAACACAGAGCTGAGGACCGTGACCACTGGGCTGCACAGATGGACCAAGCACACAGAGCTGAGGACTGTGACCACTGGGCTGCATGGCCCCACCATAGCCAGGCACAGTGACAGCTCTCTGCAACCGGCCATGAGCAGCACTGGCCCCTCCTTCCAGAGGCATCAGGGTGAACAGAGGCCTCTAAAGCAGCAGCAGAGGTGACCATGACCACAGTGGAACGCAACAGAGCTTTTCCGGAAAACACAGAGACCAGGCCACGCCGAGGAGAGCAAAGAGGGGGCCGAGCAAGCGGATGGAAGGAGACAGGGAGGGAAAGCGCAGTGACCACAGGCACGTTCCCCCGGCAGCATGTCAGACAAGGCAGCGGTTCCTGGGGATGGGACCTGTGAAACGTGACGTATGGCTGTTCATGGCTCTGGCTCTCCGTGGCGCCCCGCACAGGCCCTGGCTGCCAGGCACAGTGGGACACGCCGGGGACGGACGGAGGCTGACGAGGCACAGAGCGCTGGGCAGCTCCCTGAAGGAGAGACTGGCCGATAGCACACATGGAGGAGCCATTTACAGAGATAACACTGTGAAAGAATTAATTTCATGGTTTGAATTATTTTAAATGAATATCCTTTCATTTGAAAACTTCACCACTTACTCCAACAGGAATTAAGAGATTGTCGCATGTTCTCTGAACCACACCTGGGAAGGGTAGAGTCTTTAGCTTAGAAAAGTAGATTTAATGCTTACAGAGGTCTTTACAGTTCCCCGGGTGGATATGCCACGGCCCCTACGCAAGGTAAAGCCCACTGAGTGTGAATGCTTGGGTCTGGGTGACCACGGGGTCCCAGGATGACACCAAGGCAAGGACATTACAGCTACAAGGCTACCTGGGCCCACTGGCAGCCTGGATAGAGCCAAGAGGGGCGGGGTGGGCTCAGAAGTCCTCTCTGTTTGCACGATCACCTTTCAGAGGGCAGCTGGGGAGACCTCACCCCTCTGAGGGCATTGGCCATGTTGTACCTTACTTCCGCCTCTAGCTGGCAAACCTGGCTGTGCACACAATGCCCCCCACGGCTTGCTGAAGTATGAGGATCTGCCCTCCCCTCTCCTAGGTTGGTCATAGCTCAGGTTTGGGGCCCAGGAACTTCATTTCTAATTAGCACTCTTTGAGAAATTCCGAGTTACACTTTTCTTATGACAAGCAGGAGTATTTAAATCTCCTTTTCAATAAAATGTTACTTGGAAAATAAATAGGACGTGGCACACACAAGGCAAAGAAGCTGCTGCTTATTATTCTCAAGAACACAATCCGATTACTTCTCCTTTACATCACTGGTAAATAAACCTATACATTATGTTCCATGCGGTCAATGTGACAAAAGGAAGAGGAGCTTTCTAATAGATGTGCACATTCCTTGGCCCTGAGCTCCAGCCCAGCCTCTCCCTTACAAAACAGGACGCAAGCCTGGCCCTGTCTCTGTCAGCGGGGGAGTGAGGAGAGGACCAAGTGCAATCCTGTGTGGGGAAAAGTGGGGAACTGGGTTTAGATGAATCACTGTCGGAAGGTGTGACCATTTCCCCTCTCATGCTGGCCCTTCAGCCTCCCGCCTTATCCTGCAGGTCCCAGCTAAGGGGGAACCCATTTCTCTGAAGGGAACTCAATGGTTTGAGAAGATCACAAACCATCACAGAACACCCGAGGGCTGGCTGTTTAATGCAGGAGCCACATCCTTTTAATGAGATGTTGCCTGACGTTGTTTCAAACTCCAGCAGGTTCTATCTGTGATGAAGGATTTTCAGGCAGAGCCTTGAACTCAGGCTCTCTGTGGTCAGCTCTGGGGGGATGCTAACTATCTCCTGAGTCCCTTGGGTGCGAATTTTCCTGAGTGGACTGGGCCCAGGGCATTCCTGGCCATACTCTTCCGGGATCACACCCCATCTTCTCTCAAACTCTGTTTTTCTTTCATGTGTATTTTGTTGCATGTGGGAGAGCAATATGGGAGGAGAAAAAAAGGTTTTGGGCCAAATAATGCAGTATGGTTGGAAATGCTTCCTTGTGCAGATTTGGCATAAAAATAAACTTCTCTGGGAGAGGGCTGTTGGTGCTTGTTGTTCATTAATATGCTGAAATGATTTCACACCCCCACCCATTTTGAAGGTTCTTTGAGGCTGATTTCTATTCATTTTTTTTTTCTGGGAAGAAGATAAAATGGGTGGTGGCGGGGAGAGGTGTGAGGGGCAGGAAGTAGAACTTATGAGAAATACTACGATTCGAGTGGTTCTCTTAGTTACACAGGCTTCAGGGCTTGGATGTCTATGCTTGTGGATTGGTGTCTACTTAGGAAAAAAGACATTTAGGGAGTGCTTTCTTTGCACGTGCCATCGGCAGATCTGGATATACAGGGCAGGCTTGGACAGAGACTCACTATACAGCCACAATATGCAATCACTGGTGAAGAACCACACACATACACACACACACACACACACACACACACACACAGTCCTTGGTGTTCCTGTAGGACTTTTTTTTTTTCAGGAATTTCTTTTCTTAGCATTCTAGGGTAGAGCATATACTTGAGGTGGGCACAACCATGTGAAAAATATATGCAGGGTGTCCCAAAAAAATGTGTATGCATTTTAACAGCTGATAGGTCCCTTCTGAAAATGAAATGTATTTTAATAAACACTGCCTTTATAATTATTCAACATGTGTATAGACATTTTTTGGGGGGTAGCTTCTGTATAGATTTTGTTTTGATTTTACAAGGATCCATTGAATAAAACCAACGTTCTTGATTGGGTTGGCATTTACTCAACCAAGATGGCAAATCCACAAGCCAGGGACTGCGTGGCTGACCTGTGACCTGCCTCTGAAACCCTGGGAACAAGGCTTAATTAAGTAAATGCCCAACAAATATTAATGGAGCATTGAGTTGGGAAGGGGGAGGGCTCTGTGGGCTCAGAGCCTGTGGGCGGCTGGTACCTGGCTGGGGGTCGGTGTAATCCACAGTGTAGCCGTCCAGCTGCAGCAGCTCCTGAGGCTCCGCTTTCTTCTCCCGGTAACTGCACATGGCGAAGGTGTACTGACTGACCTGGAGGAGAGACAGATGGTGAGGCCGGGCCTCAGAGCCCACTCTCCAGGAGACACCTCAGCCTTTAACATATCCCCTCCTCCACCTCCCCAGGGGACACCTCTGCCTTTAAGGTCCTTCCCCCCATTTCCCCAGAAGACACCTGCACCTTTAACACATTCTCTCTCCCACCCTTCTCCCACTTCCCCAGGGGACACCTCTGCCTTTAACACATTATCCCTCCTCCCCCATCTCCCCAGGAGACACCTCTGCCTTTAAGGTCCTTCCCCCCATCTCCCAGGAGACACCTGCGCCTTTAACACATCCTTCCCCCACTTTTTCAGGAGGCACCTCAGCCTTTAACATATCCTTTCCCCCCGAGGCCCTGTGTGCAGGAGCGGGGTTCAAAATAAATTTTGTGATCTTTGGCTGTGTGGCATGGAACAAGTTACTCAGCCTCTCTGGTTCCCTGTGACCTCATCTGCAGACTGGCTATAATCTGAGAATCTACCTCCTCGCTCAGTTTGAATGGGTTTGCATGGAATGCACTAAGACTCAGTGACTGATGCTCAGTAATTGCTTAATAGCAGTTGGCTGCTGCCGTCACTGCTGTTATTTTAATTGGGATAAGCCACAGGAAATTGCCATTTTTGCGGGTCAAATAATGGCAATTGATTGTGGCCCTAGCCACGACTGCCAAGCTCATATCATGACTCAGGCCTTTTGGTCATTCATTTATGCATGCCCCAACTTTTAAATATTTTTTTTTTAGTATTTCATTTTCCCAGGCCCATTCTCAGCATCAAGACTCCCATTTTACCCCCTCCCGCCCCTCCCACTGAAGGAGAGCCTTTGGTTCCTCTGAAAAGTCTCCAGCTCATCTCAGAGGCAGGAGTGACATGCTGTCATAAGCAATGAGCGTGCCCCTGCTGGGAGCCAGTCCTGGTATAGCCACCCTCTCCCTCGGCCGGGCCATTGCCCCGGATGTAGCCCACACTACCCACACGGGCGGGCGGGATGCCAGTGCCGGATGGGCCTTTGGGACCTGTCTCCATGGTGCATCCAGACCCGTCTGTGAGGAGCCCGTGGGAGAGTGAGCATCCTTTGGGCTTCAGGGTATAGGCTCGTGGCATATTTACCATCCAGGATGTCAAATGCCTTGGCGAAAAAGTGCCACATCCCTCATCTTTTAGTTCCCTTTATTGAAAGAGACATGTTCTAAGTGAACTTTGATCGCTGCTGGGGACATTCCTAGTCTCCTTCTCCTTCTCCTTCTGCATGCTGAAGTCTGTCTCTTTCTTTGAAGACAAGAGAAATCAGCGCTCTCAAGCCAGGCAGCACCTCTGCCTGGGAGGCCCGGGTCCAGGTGGGAGATAAAGGGAGAGCGTTTACTGGTTTACTGGTTGCTTTATCTGCTGCTGCCCTCTGTTGGTTTCTAATGGAACCTTTCTGCACCACTTTGTGTCTACAATGCATGGAGTTTGCAGAACTGTTCCGTATCTTGCAAGGCTTTGATGGGCTTCAAGGGAAACATACAGCCAGGCCACTAGGAGTATTTTCATAAGTGGATATGTATTATTCTCCTGGTAAGCAGAACACCCAATAGTACCCTCTTCTCTTAAAGTGGTATTTTAAAAATGAGAGTTCAGAGTGCAAGCTTGGTAGTCTCAGGCCTGTACCCCACTCCAGGTCTGATAAGCTGTCACCTCACCTATCTGAGTCTGAGTCCTCACCTGTATTCTACCTGCATCTTATTGGCGCTGGGGGTTCTCTGAACAGTGTGCATGACCCTCACAGAGAAAATGCCCAACACGTGCATGGATGTAAACAGTTTCCTGGCATTTGGCACTGACATTCTAATATAGAGTTGGTTTATGGAGTCATATATTTTGGTTTTATTCCCCATACAGTGGGCATTCACTAACTGAGTCTGATTTTTTCTAGGAAGTTGATCTAATAAATTTGTGTGTGTGTGTGTGTGTGTGTGTGTGTGTGTGTGTGTGTTTGTTTTTTTCCCCTTCTCTTCTCATTAACTTACATATAGTATAACTCTAAGCACAGAACCAGTATTTTCCAGCCCATTACTGGTTCTATAGGTAGCCGATCTTCTGTGATGATACCATAATTACAGATATTTTTACCTGTCTCTGGCAACACCACATGGTACAGCATGCTAATGTGATGGTTTGCCAAACAAATATAGAGTTGCAGACACTCACTTGAGAACAGAAAAAAAATCACAACAGAGGGATATTATTTCAAGATCCTGCATTTACTCTTACTATAGGCTATGGGCTGTTTGATTTTTTCTTGTTTGAGTAGCTTGCTTCTTTGGAATGCTGTACACTGCTGCCCCCTTCTGGTAGCACTGCTGAAGTTGTTACCTCAACATTTGGGCTCAAGTAGTTGGTTTATTAGGACCATTTTAATTTGGGGTTTGGCGACTTACTTTAGGAAATCAAGGAAGGGATTTAAAAAATATTAATTTCTCTTTGAATATTTCTTCTTATTTCAAGTTTGTAGGGAATCTCAGTTTTTTTTTTTTGGAGTGCTTGAGGGCTAAGGAATAGCAAAGGTTTGGTAGCTTTTTTATTTTTTTAAAGCATCCACCAGACATCACCAAGTGAAAGCTATTCCCAATGAAATGCATATTTTTAAGTCCCAGTAGAATTCTACTGACACTGAATTTTGAAGGAAGTGAATGAAACAGGGAGCATAGAAGAGCCTAGAACACACGCTGGCAGTCAGAGAGTCAACCAGCCCAGCTTGAGAGCCTGGACCAGGACAAGAGAAAATATAAAGATCTAGTGACCTCAAATGCCCAGCAGAATCTGAAAATGCACTCTGGAGAGACGGGCGTAAAGGACTACAATTTCCACATGTTTGAGATTTTTCAGCTGGAATGCACCTTTTCATGGAATCATGGAGTTGGCTGTTGGGACTCCCGAGGGAACAATCTTTCTTCTTTTTTTTCAAAAAAAATTTTTAAAATATATTTTATTGATTTTTTACAGAGAGGAAGAGAGAGAGATAGAGAGCTAGAAACGTCGAGGAGAGAGAAACATCGACCAGCTGCCTCTTGCACACCCCCTACCGGGGATGTGCCCGCAACCAAGGTACATGCCCTTGACCAGAATTGAACCTGGGACCTTTCAGTCCGCAGACCGACGCTCTACCACTGAGCCAAACCGGCTTCAGCTCCTTCTTCTTCTTTTTTTTTTTTTTAAAGGTGGCTAAACTTCAGATACACAAGGAACCCCTTAGCTTATTTCCAACCACTTATTTAAACTAGGAAAAGGTTTGCAATAATATTTTGTTCAGAGTGGGCAGGCCACGTTCCTAGAGTGTGTGTATCTAGTGGGGGTAGGTTATAAATATGCAGGTTCTTTAAGTCAGAATAACTGAAACAGAATATAAGGTCCAGGAATCTCTACTTTTCATAACTGTCTCAGGTATTTCTCATGCATACTAAAGCTTGAGAACAGCTGTTTTAACATGTAGAAACTATCTTGAAATTTTAAGTTTGCCATGAGTTTCAATTATATTTAGCCACTAGAGTCCAGATAGGAGGGTCGGTCTTTTCTTATTCGTGACTGACTCTTCCTCTTCTTCCTCCCAGCATCCATGGGAGATTATAGTACTTGGACATACAACTAATGAGATACATTTTGTCTAAAACCCCTGTTCTTGCCTTTACTATCTTTCTTTGAGAATGACCCAGCTGTCATTTTTACTGAACCCTGGTCACTAGCTCTTGTTCAAAATTCACATACATGTATTTTAGAAAAATACTTCTTTCTGTATGGCAGAGTCATTCATTCTTTCAATTATTTGTTCACTCGCCAAATACTTAGGTAGACAGTGGGTGCAGGGAATGTAAAGATGTACACCACCAGATGTGGTCCCTGCCCTCATGCCTAGCAGAAAGGTAGACATTAATTATATGAGCTCAGAAATGTGGCATTAATGGCGATTAAGTATTAAAAAAGAGATCTATGGCACTGTAAGAGCTTGGGGATTTAGTGTAGTTGGGTGATCAGGGAAGGTTTTAATAAGGAAACATTGACTAAAACATCACAGAGCCAAGATCTGAGGATGGCCAACACTTTTATAATGTGAAGCATCCAGTTCCTGGGACCAATGACCATTTCTTAATGTGACATGGTTGTGTATGAAGAACCACAGAGTCTAAACACCAGATATGTATTAGGTTCCATTGGCTGCCTAGGGGCCATAAGCTTTGGGCAAGTCATTCAACCTCAGTTTGCTCTCACGTAAAAGGTGGACCAAACTTGTCCTCCCTGTAGTACAGAAAGGTTGTAAAGACCAACTGGATGACCTTCTTGTAAACTCTGAGGACCAGGTAAATATAAGCAATAATGAACGTTATTAGAGGGACCGTAGAATATTATGGTTTGTATGGTGCTAACCAGGGCATGGATATCTCAGAAATACTTTGGCTGAAGACCAAACAAAAACTGATTTGAACCTGAAATCTTTTGGGTACAGTGGACCAATAATATGGGAGGGGAGACTCCCTATCATGGTGAGAGGGCCTCTCGTCCCTCTTCCTGTGGGAAATTGTAGCTATCCAGGCTCTTCTCTCTTCCTTTTCCTTCCTCTTTCCACTATTTCCCAAATGGCCGTGCCACACACTGAGCTGGAGGAAGTGTATGTGTGGGGCGGGGGAAAGAGGGAAGGACGTCAAGGTGAATCAGAAACAGAATTTGCCTTGAAACAGCACATAGTGTCCTGGGGGAGGCCAGGCAGAGACCCAGGGAAGTCAGAGAGGCTGCTAGGCCATGTGAGCACACTGAGGGGAGACCCGCCCATAACTGAGCACTGCTTCTTTGGGTGTAACTTGTCTCTTCTTTTATATTGTGCTCTTCAGATTGGGCATCAGCTCTTCTTGCCTGCCAGCATCAATTTCTCCTGGCATGGGCACCTTGATTTTGCACTGGAGACAGATCCGTGGGCCTGATCCTCACATTGCCTGCCCCTGCTAAAAGTTGGGTGCGTGATCCAAGCTGGACCAACCCAATTCTCTCTCTCAGGTCTGGCTTTTGAGTGGAGATGGGAGAACAGAAAATGGTCAGAAATGATTTTGTCATGTCGCTAACCATGGTTCCCATGATCTAGACTTCTGGAGCTGGTTTTGTTTGTAATAAGGACTGATCATTCAACCTTTTCTGCAATCTCATGAACTACCTCAGTGCCTTCCAATACATTCATTTTTTTAAAAAAATCTGAATTAGCATGAGTCTGTTTGCCTATAAAGAACTCTAATAGAGTTCTTTTGGAAATGAGGGACATGGCTTCATAGTCCTCTATGACCTACCAACGTGCCCTATACAAAGTAGGTGCTCCATAGATATTGGTCAGTCGCTAGTCTGAGGAAATGTATCTCAAAATAAAATCTCCTTTATTGCTTAGCCATGGATTATTTTGGAGGTTGGACATAATTCCAAACCTTCCATTTGGCTAATTTTCTTTAAAGTTTTGCTGTACCTCATAGCAATATGAAAGCAAAGATCACCTCTTGCTTGCAGCCAGAGAAGCATTTTGCCTCAGAGGCGGGCACATGAGTAGATCTGTAGGAGGTCTAGTCTTAAGAGTTCAGAGTTAGTAGAACTTTCAAGGCCTAAGAGGTATTTGCACCATGGTGAGGTTTCAGAACTGAGAGTGATCTAAATACCAGCAGTGCTTAGAGCCAACACAGTTACCCGGTAAACACCTTAGTCACTAAATGAAGGTGGCGCACTTTGTGATGTCGTACAGAGTACAGCAGAAATTAACTTCTTGAAATTGAATTATAGTTTACATGCTCTGGTGGAGCCTGCAATTAAAAAGCCAATGGCAAATTCCTCCGCAAATTGAAAAATCCTGATGCAAAAAGCAAACAAACAAAAAAGGAGGGATTTTCAAAGACATGTATTTCTATTTTTGGATATTTTTTTTTCCTTAAAGAAATACTTGAGAGCAAAGATACTATTTAAATATTAATACCGTATTACTAGTACCAATATCTGCATCCATATCTATATTTGTATGCACTGATGTTCTGTGCTGCATGGTTAATAATGGTCCGATTTGGGAAGCCCAGAAGTCTATCCAAAAGGAGAATTCTTGTTGCTGAGAGAGTAAGTCTTAAAATTTCCCATCATAAGAAAAAAAAGGGGGAAAATTTATAGGTAATAGAGTTAAAGGTATATGTGCAAACATGGGAAAATGTCTACAATGATTTTTTAAAGCAATTTGCAGGACAACATGAAAAATTGATTATTTTTGGTTAAAGAAAGTTTATCTGGAGATATATATTCCTGACACTAAACATTATTATAGGGGGTCAGTCGAGACTTCTGGAAGCCCAGGCATCAAGAAGAGTGGAGTGCTCCCCTACAGGTAGTTATATATAAACACACTAACAATAAAATAGATGTGAAAAAGTCCAACTAAATTCTGAATTTTCTCAGGAGTATCTTAGAGTCTTTAGAAACAGCAGATTTTTCTAAAAGAATGTTGGTGTCCCACTTCCCTAAACAGGCACAGGCTTGCTCGATCGCTAGGGTCCCTTATCACAGATAGGGTGCAAGTTCTCCTACTTATCTATAATAATAAAAGGGTAATAGGCTAATTAGACCAGACATCATTCCGGACATCCTTCCAGATGAAGTCGGGGGCCAGAGGGAAGCTGGTGCTGGCAGCCAGGGGAAGGAAGGCCTATTCTTGCATGCATTTCTTGCAACAGGCATCAGGTCCTATATAATAAAAGGCTAATATGCAAATTGTCCCCTTAGGAGTTCCACTGACTGGGAGTTCCGATATGTGCTGACACCAGGGAAAAGCTTGCAATGAAGGAATGCCCTGGTTGGCAGGAGGAAGGCCCCAATTGGCCCAGAGACCTTACCCGTGCATGAATTATGTGCATCAGGTCTCTAGTCTTACATAATTCTGTATTATCAGAATAGAAATTAATGAGCATTCATGGATTTTAAAAAAAAATTAAAGTGATATAAAAATAGGCAATGGAACACAGGGAACACCCTGGATTCTGGAAATGTGCTTTATGCAACTGGTTGGTGGTGTTACATGGATCTGTAAGGGCAAAACCTCACTGAGCTGCTGCTTGAGCTTTGTGTGCTTCAGGTAGTTACATCCATTAAAAACTGCCACCTGGTTAAAACTGATGGCTCTGAAGGCTGATTAATTAGAGTTGAAGAGTTACCTGCACCAACACAAAGAACCTCTTCTTCCATCGCTTCCACACATTCTTGCCGATGGCCCACAAATACCTAAGGGATAGAGAAAAGACATTGCTGCATTAATGCTTATGCGAGTGCATCGTTTAATACAGGTGACCGTGAGGCTTGGTGCTCAGGACATGCACGCGGCCCAGAAAGAGAAAGCAGAATCGAGGAGCTGAGCAAGAAACAGCAGCCAAGTCACTTCCCATCCTCAGACTGCCTGGCTCCAGGAGCACCCCTAGAAAGTTACCTGTGACTTAAAGTGCATGCGCGCTAAGTCTTTTAGGTGGGGAAAACTCCTACAGGTGTGGCGCAAAGAGAAAAAAATTAGTGCTAAATCTCACAATTACCAATTCTTTTCCTCTTACCATGTTTTATTCAGGAAAACCTTCCCTCAGGATTTTGTTGTTGTTGTTGTTCTGCCAAAGGCAAGTGTATGCATTATAGGGAAGGAGTTGGAAGAAGTTTCAAGTCAACAGAGAAAGTTCTCCCTGTTCTCCTCCCTTTTCCCCAAATGCTCTTCTGTTGGTGGAAATTCATCTTTATATAGAAACATGAAATAAAAACGAGGGTTAAGGACCACAGAGGCTGTCTGGAGATTTTAAGACCAGTGTTGCTAATTCACTCATGAATTACCCCAAGGCCTGTGGATTGTTAAATGTTGAACTAGTGCTGATCTAGGGAGAGAGGCTGGTGGTTTTCAGACTCTGTCAGGCCAGGTGAAGAAAGAGCTGGTCAAACCCCAACACTTCCTAACACTCCAGCCCAGGACTGGCTTCACCTGCTGTCAGAACCGAAGGGACAACTTCCAGACCCCACTTCACCAAGAATCAGACAGAATTACCACTTGGGAGCAGAAAGAACAATGCCCCTGATTACAACATTCCCAGTTGATGTTGTTTGACAAATTCCAGGGGCCCCTGGAGTGGCCGGTGGCCCAAATCTACTCAGACCTTCAAGCCAGAACCTGGAGTCTCCTGGCGCCTCTGTCCCCACCTCTTTGCCCCTCAATTGCTCCTGATTCACCTGCTGCAAAGTTCCTCCTCTGCTCAGTCCACCCCTCACACCTCCTCCATGTCAGCCCTGGCCACAGGGCTGCGCCCAGGGACAGTGCGGGGGAACCTCCGTGGGAATTAGGGCACCCCAGCGTGATTTCCTCCTCCTGGTCCTGGGACAGGGCCACCATCTGCAGTGCTCTCATGCCTCCCCCGCTGAAACACCAGTGGGTCTCCCCATTTACATGAAGGGAGCCCCAAACTCTGGCCGCTCACATTCCACTCTCATGATTTCTCCCACATCCGCCACCTAATTATCCTATGATTCACTTGGAAGTCTAAGTTGACTAATTTAACATTTATTTTGAAAGGAAACTTTACACTGTAGCCTTGATACACCAATTATAAGTTATGCAGCACACATGAAAATGCACTGAGATCCACTTAACTAATAATACATGCTTGTCGGTGCATCAATGGATGATCTTGTGTACCTTCTTGGTGTGAATACACTTGGGGAAGCCTTGGCCTCTAAAGACAACATGCAGCATCCTGACCTGACCTGGCAGCGCTGCCTTTTCTGGTCCCGGTGAACTCTCCAGGCTCAGCTGGTGTCTTGTATTGTCTGTAATTCCTGATCACGTGACTTCCACACCTTCATCCGTAACTCTACACAGTCATGCTGCCTGAATGCCTTCTTGCAGCTCCTGAGGTTAGAACTCATGTCTTCCTGAGTCTCTGTTCTTACTTGATGCCACTGCCTCCTGGGCCGCTAAGTCAATTCTGTGCTGGCAGCAGTCACTTACTTGCTGTTATCCTCACACACCCGTTGGACTTTGAGGGAAGGAACCTCGTCCTTTCTTTCTAAGATTCCCCTTTTCAATCTCCTAGTGCAGTTCCTGGCAGAACTGCCCCTTGGACTGTGCGGGCCCGCTAATATGCAGATTTTTTTTTAGTAAATACTGTGCAGTCTGCTTATTGTCTCTGAGGGTTTCACATTTGCAGATTCAACCATTAGTAGATCAAAAACAGAATTTTGCATTCCCAACCGTGGTTTCCCAGCCTCGGATTCTGGCGGACTGCAACACTGGGTGACTCTGTGGATGTGAAGGCCTGTGTGGGGGTTTGGTGTCTCTAACTGCAAAACAGTTGAGGGGTCAGCTGTACATGGTAGGTAGTCAATAAGTATTTCCAATATTTTATTTATTTATTTATTTATTAAAATATATTTTATTGATTTTTTTAGAGAGGAAGAGCGAGGGATAGAGAGTTAGAAACTTCAATGAGAGAGAATCATCGATCAGCTGCCTCTTGCACACTCCCCACTGGGGATGTGCCTGCAACCGAGGTACATGCCCTTGACTGGAATTGAACCCGGGACCTTTCAGTCTGCAGGCCGACACTCTATCCACTGAGCCAAACCGGTTTCGGCAATATTTGCAATATTTTAATTGGTTTTGAATGTCATGTTCTTGGAAAAGCAGAGCAACCTTTATAATGATTTCTGATGAGATCATTATAAAAGCATCACATAAAGACATGCAATGCATCACCAAGTCTTTTGGGTTCTCCTTCCAAAGTATATCCTGTCTAATTCTATCTCCACGGCTGCTCTCCAAACACGTCACATCCGCCTGGGCCAGGCAATGGTCCCCCCTCTTCCACTCCTGCCCCAAACTCCATTCACTTCACAGCAGTGACATTGTAACTGGGTAGACTGTAGCATTAACACACTCATTCTAAATAAGGATGGAAAACTAGAGAGGGTTTTAGGCAGGGGAGTGACAAGGTTATATTTCTACTTAAGATGACCCAGTGGCCATGGTGGCGAATGTGCTGTTGATGGGAGGGGCAGGAGAAGCAGAGAGCCGGCAGAGAGAGGGTGACAGTGTGCAGATGAGAGGGGGTGGGCCGGACCCAGGCTGAGGCTGTGGGGACGGTTGGATGGCTGTTCGTCACCCTGAAGCCAACTCTGTCAGCTCTGTATTATGTGGACCACATTGCTGTCCTAGACAGAGCTCTCAACCCTCTTGAAGTAATAGATTATCATATTCATGCAGAAACGGAGGCTGGGCCAGGGAGGGTTATTATCTGTGCTGGCGAGGAGCCTTCCAGCGCTAGTTCTGCCAGTTACTCTGAAATGCTGGGCAAGCTGCTTAACCTCCCAGTGTTCTCCAAACAGGGCCAGAGGTGTGTGTGGGCATTAAGTGAGGTGATGCTTGAGAGGTATAAGTATGGGGCTTGACAGGAAGTAGATACCCAATAAAAGCTGCCTTATGATAAAACTAGAGGCCTGGTGCACAGAATTCATGCACGAGGGTAGGGGAGGGGTTGATTGTCCATCAGCCCAGCCTGTACCTTCTCCAATCTGGGCCCAATCCTAAATGGACAGTCGGACATCCCTCTCATAATCCAGCACTGCTGACTCCCAATTGCTCACCTGCCTGCCTTCCTAATTGCCCCTAACCTCTTCTGCCTGCCAGCCTGATCACCCCCTAACCACTCCCATGCCAGCCTGATTGATCCTAACTGCTCCCCTGCTGGTTTGATTGCCCCTAATTGCCCTCCCCTGCAGGCCTGGTCACTTCTAACTGTCTCCCCTACACACCTGGATGTCCCCCCTTTCCCCCAACTGCCTTTCCCTGCAGGCCCGGTTGTCCCCAACTTCCCTCCTCTGCCAGCCTGGTCACCCCTAACTGCCTTCCCCTGCAGGTTTGATTGCCCCCAATTGCCCACCCTTGCAGGCCTGGTCCCTCCCAATTGTCCTCCCCTGCTGGCCATCTTGTGGTGGCCATCTTGTGTCCACATGGGGGGGAACCATCTTTGACCACATGAGGGCAGCCATCTTGTATGTTGGAGTGATGGTCAATTTGCACATCACTCTTTCATTAGTTAGGATAGAGGCCTGGTGCATGGATGGGGGCCAGTTGGTTTGCTCTGAAGGGTGTAACCGGCATGTAGCAGAATCTTGATAATGTTAGGCATTGTTGTTGAGTGTTGTTATTCTTGTTGCTACTAGTGGTAGTAGAAAGAGTCTGTAACTACCAACCACTTTGGATCCTTTATTTCAATGTATGTTCTGCTTCCAGGCACATATCTGTTGTTGGGAAATAGGGTGAAGTGCACATGTCTGGGTTTAGGTCTTCAGGTCACATTTTGCATCACGATTCTAATGTATCCTGTCTTGTAGCATTTCTGTAAGTCCCATGCCAGTGGGCCACTGCCATCCCTGCGATTCCCTGTGGCATTTTAATCAATGAGAGTCCAGAGTGAACTACAAAGGACTAACAAGAGACCAGGAAGCCCAGCTGGTATTGCTCAGTGGTAGAGCATCAACCCAGGAATTAAGAGGTCACCGGTTTGATTCCTGGTCTGGGCACATGCCCAAGTTACAGGCTCAATTTCCAGTAGGGGACAAGCAGGAGGCAGCAATTGATATTTTTCTCTTACAGATGTTTCCATCTCTCTCTCTATCTCCTTCTCCCTCTTCCTCTCCCTCTCCCTTCCTTTCTCCCTAAAATCAATAAAAACATCTGAGAGAGAGAGAGAGAGAGATGAGGAGGGTGCACTTGGGTTCAACTTAAGTCCCAGGAATCCCAGTCAAATGCATGGAAGACGCCCTGGCCTCGAGGGAATAAAAAAAAATGGGACAGTGTCCTTCACGTGTTGTTTGTGACTGTAAATGAAGTAGGACTCAGCTGTTTATTAAGCACCTACTGTGCTTAGCACTAGCATGCACATGATGGGTATCCATGGGGAAAATGTTTTACTGTGTATCTTCCGTTAAGATGCCGGAAAATGGGCAGCCAGGAGCCAGAGTGACGGACAAGCCCAGAAATGGGGGTTGGTGCTGCCCTGGTCCAGGTGCAGAGGGAGGCACTTGTTTTCTCTGGGCAAAATCTTTTCCCCCCAGAAATTCTTCATGACAATTTTTCCTAAGAAGAGCAGTCACAGTGAGACAAAAACCATGATTCCTACCAAAAGGCCTCCTTCCCTTCCCTGGGGAGGAGAAAGAACAGGGGTAGGGATAGGGGGGCTGAGACTCCAGTGTCTCAGTCTTCTTGTAGCAGCCTAGCAGGACTGTGGCTGAGGAAAGGTGCAAAGCATAGGTGAATGCAAACAACACCAATGGTAACAAACACCACGAACTCCCGAACTCCACTGTAGCTGCAGCTCTCACCTTACATCAAATGCTTGACATTTATGAACTCATTTAATCCTCACAATAACCCTCGGGGCCAGCGCTATCATTACCTCCATCTCATGCTGAGCAAAATGAGGTCCAGAGAGGTTAAGGAACTTGTCCTCAGCTAGTAAGTGGTAGTGCCAAAGATTACAGGTCAGGCAATTGACCTAATTGGCCTTTCTATATACTAATATAATAAAAAGATAAAATGGAATAATAAAGATATTCAATTAATTCAAAAGAAGCAAGAAAAAGTGAAAAAAGGAAACCGATCAGATGGAACAAACAAGAAACAACTAGCAAGATGACAAGTAGCAATTTAACTTATACCAACCATTTCAATGATAAATATAAATAGGCTTAATAAATACTCTCATTAAAAGACAGAGCTACAGCCTGGCTGGTGTTGCTCAGTGTTTGAGCCTTGACCCATGAATCAGGGGGTTATGGTTAGATTCCCAGTCAAAGCACATACTGGGTTTCAGGCTCAATCCCTGATGAGGGCATGCAGGAGGCAGCCAATCATTGATTCTCTCTCATCATTGATATTTCTATCTCCCTCTCCCTCTCCCTTCCTCTCTGAAATCAATAAGTAAAAAATTATTTTTTAAAAAGGACTTGTTAAAACATAAAAGGAAAATCAGTATTGTTGTGAATTACTCCAGGTTGATGGACATGGTTCATTGAATTTAAGTTTCAGGTTTGTAGTGAAGGTTGTACTGAAACTATTCAAGACCTGGCTCTGAGGCTACTCTGACTTGGGCAAGTCTTTTCCTTATTTTTAAAATGTGGATTCTAAGCCTCAGTTTCCTTCTTTGTAAAATGGGGGCTCATTCATTCACTTATTTATGCAACAAATAATGTATTGGACTTTTATTTCATGTCTATAGTTGCTTCCTTGAACAAAGGAGACAAATGTCCCTAATGATAAGGAGCTCACAGTCTAGTGAGGAAGACAGACAACAAACGAATAAAGAAGGTTATGATATGTGAGATGTTGATAAGTGCCCTAGTAAACATAAAGCAGAGTAAGAAAGAGAGGGAGGACACAGGTGGGCCCGGAAAGGCATTTTGATGAGGGGCAGAGATGTGCAGAAACCAAGGTGAGCCACATGGACATCTGCGTGGGGGAGAAGGAGCACTCACTGCAGAGGGAACAGTGGGGGCAAGGGTTCTGGGATGGGGTCCACTTGGAGTTTTTGGGAAGAGCAAGGAGGTCAGTATGTCTGGAGCAGTGATCAAGGTCAGAGAGGTAATGAAGTCCTTATCAGACAGGGCCCCGTAGCCATGGTAACAGCATTGACTTTTACTTTGAATGAGTTGGGGAATCAGTGGGGGTTTCTCCAGCCCTTGAGTGATGAGATCTGACTTGTGTTTTACAAAAGAATTATTCTACATAGATTACAGGGAGGCAAGACCCCAGGGGAACTGTCTACAGGCAAGTGCAAACAAGTGGAGGCTTGGATTCGAATGGTGATGTGGAGGTGGTGATGAGAGGCTGAGCTCTGGATTCACTCGAGGTGGAGTGAGGAGAACTGGATGATGGATGAGATGAGGGTGAGAGAGGAAGAGAGACCAAGATGACTCCAAGGACTGTAGTCTGAGCAACGGGGTGAAGACAGAGGCCGTTTATTAAGATGGAAGGATAATAATACCTAATCCTTGTGAGGCTGTCTCAGGGATGAAATGGGATCATGTAACTGAATGCACTTCCTGAGCTTAAAACACTATGTGGATGTAAAAGATAATAATTAGAAAGCCACGGAGGCGTTGCTAAGTCTCAAATATGCCCAGGTACCAATGTCTTAAGGCCAAAGGGCAGCGATGGTGTTCTTACGGACATTTTTCTATCCAATAAAGAAAGTTATTCTGAACGGGCCAGGGGCTCGTTCAACGAACCATGGACCACCAACCAGGAGTAATTCCGAGTTTCCTTTTATGTTTCAATACACAGTAAAGTGAATACGACTCATGACTTCAGCCAGGCTTCTTAAACATTCCTCTCTCTAATCCTCTAAATGGTGACACTGCTTAGATGTTACTATCACTCTCCTCCACTCAATGGGGCTCAGTAAACTCATTTTAAGTGGGGGGGGGGAAGTAATTCATAATATTTCCACTTTCCCTGAATCTTCCCTTGTGCAACTTCCCAGATTGCTCTCCCTGACTCCCCCATGCTGGCTCTGATGATGCTATATCAAGGTGCCCACTGTTCACTTTTCAGGACTATTCTAGGCCCTCTTGGCATATGTCCCAGCAGGGATGATCTTTAAACGGCAGTCTAGTGATATTAAATAGCTATGAAATAGGTCAGAGTGAGCTACATATTTCTTCTTTCATCTATAAGATCAAGGTATCTGAAATATGTTAATAATTTTACAAATACATCAACAAAAAAGTTCCTAAATCCAGATCAGTTAGTTCAATTTCCAACAGAGTCAAGGGGGAAAAATGTGGGAACTTGTCCAATGGGAAAAATCATATCTATGCCAAGTGTTTGCTCTGGGGATGACATGAGGGAGTATTTGTGAAACTCCTGGTATGGGGCTCCCACAGCCCAAGATGTGGTCCCTTTAAGGAAGTTTTTAAAGAGCAGTTTTGAGGACAGAGATTCATTCATATTTTTTGCTTCTCTCTTTGGTCTGCCCTCCCCTCCTCACTTCTCTCTCTCTGACTCCCTCTGTGAGCCAGGATTTTGCTAAAGATGCCGAATGCTCCCTGTGCTACTGAAACTCCACAGAATTCTCCAACCGTTTGCTTAAAACCTGGATGTGTACTTTGAAGAGGAGAGATACGTGGGAGAATTCCCATTCAACAGTTTGGAATATACACTAAGTAGCCAGATTATTATGATCTCTGTACGTATAATAATCTGGCCACTCGGTATATATATATATATATATATATATATATATATATATATATATATATATATATATATATATATATATTAGAGACCTGATGCATGAATTCATGCATGGGTGGGTTTTGACCAGCCTGGCCAGGGGGAGGGGACATGGGTGACTGGCTGGCCTGCTTACTGATCGAACTCTTGGTCGAGGGGACAGTTTGCATATTAGTCTTTTATTATATAGGATTATTATATATGATATACATTAAGTCTTAGGGTTAGGGTAATAATCTGGCCACTCAGTGTATGCCAAGAATATAAGAAGGAGGAAAAGCTGACTCCATATGAGTTGATTGTTTGAAGGTCACCAATGACAACTGTTCACACCTCCTGTATGTGGTTATTAACCAAGGTACAAGGAAGGGATTCATAGTCTGAGAAATCAAAAGGTAGGTGAAGCCAATAAAACCTCTGAAACCGGAATCACCCAGCATGCTTCTAGTGAGGCAGTGAATGTCCTGGGAATCCCTGTCCAGAGGAGAAGGAAATGGACATGTAGCACCAAGGCAAACACAGTGCGGTGATTCTAAGAACAGAGGAAGCTTATGGTACAGCCCGCCCTCTGCATCCATGGGTTCCGTGTCTTGTGACCCCAACAACTATGACTACTATATAGTCAGGCCTAGAGGGCTGAGTCTGTACTGAACACGCACAGACCATTTTTCTTGTCATTATTCCTTTAACAATACAGTATGACAACTGTTTACATAGCACTGACATTGTGTTAGAAATTTTAAGTAATCTAGAAACAATTTAAAGTATATGTGAGGATGTGCCATGCTATCTGCAACCCCTCCGCCATTGCATCCGTGAGGGGTCCTGGACTGAATCCTCCATGGAGATCCACAGACAACTGTAAATATGAGAGTATTTTCATAACCTCTCATGGATCCTTTGTATTTCTTTCCAGGTGGTTCTCTGAGGATCAGTTTTTCTATTTAGAAAATATGTTAAGAAATAAATGAAAGCGTGTGCAAAACTGCCCTCCAGAGAAAGAGCACTTACCCAGAATGCTTCATGTTTTGAGGCTTATCCATTCGGACAGCAAGTTTGATTTTGAGGTCTTGATCGGGGCAGTTTTTGGAGACTGTCATTTTGTGCCACTCTGACTGCTTAGGGCTGTTCGGGGTGGGATGGAGAATGACCTGTGGGGATAAAGGACAGCCATCTTAGCCAGGAAATGGAAGCACCGTTATGGGCATATTTTGGTGGATGAGAAACTTTGCTGTGGAGAAGGAGTGTCTTGCCCAGGTTCCATGGCCCGAGGGAAGGGAGCCATTTGAAGCAGCGTCCTGGCCATCAGACTCAGAACCAAGACTTTGCCTCCCAACAGCGGCTGCCTCCTGCCAACCAGCCAGGCCCGGGATAGAAATGATGTTCTCTGCTCCCTTCTCCCTCTCCCTGGATAACTCTCTAACAGTAAGGACTGTGGTTTCTGGGATCCTGCTTTCATACTTTTCCAAAGCTCAGAAGTACTACATCAAGAGAGAGTTCTCCGCCCACCAACCTCCTCACAAGAAGATGGTGTGAAGGGAAGAAACATCTTCCATCTCAGAGGGCACTGCTGGCCCACCCTTCTCCCTTTTTCTGGGATCCTCTTTCCTTTGCAGCAGGAGAGTCCCCCAGAGGCACAGGGAAGGTGGGGGCACCTTATTTGATGGATGGGAAATGTGCCATTTAGAGAGGAGAGGGGCCTGCTGCCAGGCACACGTCTCAACCTATGTCAGCTGCGCTTTCATCTCATCAGGGGCCAGCCTGCTCTGCCCTGGGGGAAGGGTCGGCCTGAGACAGCCTCTGCAGGGGGCTTCAGGGATGGTGTGCCCTGTGGGGCTTGTGCCTCAGGTCTCCCTGCCTCCGAGTGTGAGTGAAGCTCAGGGATGTCCCTTCTGCACTGAAGATGAACGGGTTCTCAGGAGCCACGTGGGACCTGGGGAGCATGTGCTGGGGAGGAAAGGAATTTGGAAAATCCCCTGAACCACGGGGATGGGAACTAAACACAGGACAACAGGAGCATTGCCCACTGGCTGAGCATTGCCTCTGCACTGGCGGTGTGCCTGGTGGCTGTGGCTTTGCTTTCAAAGCCACTTTCTCCAGGAGTGGGCAGGCCGGCCCCTGACCTGGGCTCCTGTCACTGCTGGAGGAGTTGGGAGGGGTCCTGCAGAGGCCACAGTGCTGTCATGCCAGCTCAGGCTGGGCCCGGAGGGCAGGGACCAAGGGCTCTCGGACGACTGTACATCAAGAGCTCCGAGAAAGAGAAACACCACATGACCTCACTCATTTATGGTTAATAAAGAACATTATAAACTGATGAACCAAAAGATAGATATAGAGACAGTAAAGCAAGAAGCAGACTGTCAAATTACAGTGGAGATGGGAGGAAGATCTGGGAGAGATAATAAATCAACCGAAGGACTTGTATACATGCATATAAGTACAACCAATGGACACAAAACTCTGGGGAGGGAGGATATGTGTGGGAGGGAGGGGGGCAAAAAAAATCAATAAAATATATTAAAAAAATAAAATTTGTTCATTTCACTCATGTAAAAAAAAAAAAAAAAAAAAAAAAAAAGAGTTTGGAGAAGAGGAGGGACCAAGACAGAAAAGGACCATCCGCCCCTTTCACAGGCCTCGCTTGTGCTGATTTTTCACCCTCTGACTCCAAGCCTGACTCTCCCTTCTTTTTTCTTTTTCCATTAAATCCCCTCTCTCTGATGAAGGGAAATGTGTATATTTTTGCTAAAGACAAAATTAGAGTCCTCTCAATGACTTACGATGAAAATAAAAGAAATCCTGATATTTCAGACCACAGGCTGCCAATGTGTTTTTGACCAGGCCCTACATCAGTAAGATAATTTTGAGCAACTAACCCAATGTCTGTACTGCATCACTACCAATATAAAATATGTCAATATGAACACAGGCATGCCTCAGAGATATTGCAGGTTTAGGTCCAGGCCACCACAATAAAGTGAGAGTCACAATAAAGTGAATCACATGAAGATTTTGTTTTTTTTGTTTATCGAAAAGTTATGTTCACACAATACTACAGGCTATTATACATAAACAGCATCATGTCTAAAAGCACTTCTTTTGCTAAAAAATGATAATCATCATCTGAGCCTGTTGGAAAAATTGTGCTGATAGAATAGCTCAGGCTTGCCACAAACCATCAATTTTTAACCACCCCTCCCCCCTAAAAAAAATGGGAAAATGAGATATGCCTATATATAAATATCAGTAAAAATATATACCCAAATATATATTTCACATTTACATGTCCACTTTGTGTTAACATTGATTACATATGTCATAGAACACACACAAATATAGGCGTCTTAAAAGATGGGCTAAAGACAAAAAACTATTGTCTAAGTAAGTGCCTTGCGAATTGTGATGGCTTTGTTCTCTCATGAGCCTTATTTTGCTGTCTATGTTGAGGGCACAGCTGGTTGTTAAGGGTACAGGATGGGAGTCTGCATTGCCTGTAGTCTTGGCTGGCGTGGGACCTGTGTGATCACTGGCCGCTCTGTCTCGGTGGGTGACTGAGTAACGGGACTCTGCGAGCAGGCCACCACCATTTTCCTGCTGTTTGCCAGGCTTGAACATTAGGACTACCTTTAAATCAGAGCCCCTCTGTGGTAATTAATCTCTTTAGGCATTTGTTCATTCTGTGAGGGGTAACTTAGCGAAGATTCAATCATCAAATGTGTAAGTTCACGTCACTGGCACCAGTGGACTTGGACTTGCTGGAGGACTCTGGACGTAAATGAGTCAGGGACGTAAACTGGCTGGCGGTGTGGGGGGCACCACTTCCTGCCTTCAAGAGAACTCTGTCATCTTCTGCACCCTGAGCCCTGAGCCTGGAGGGTGGGGAGAAGGGATGCTGATCCAGTGAGGCTGACCCTCTCTCCTGGGAGGTGAGGCGGGGTGTGTGCAGGGAGTAAGAGGAGAAGCACAGCCTAAGTCGGAAGACAGCAGGCCAGGCCCCAGGCCTCCTGCCCTCCTGCCCGTTTGGCAAAGTGGTGGGAACGGTGCCCTGGGCACCCAAGCAGGCTTCCCGCCATATGGTCCCGGTGTTTCCCACGGCCAATGTGATGTCCGCTTGCCAAAGCAAATGGCCTCAGCTCAGTGCTGGCCTCTCTAAAAAGACTGCTTCCCCAACATGGGGGTCCCCTGAGGGGACCTCCTCTCCAGCGTGGACGGGGAGATGAGGTCACTGCGTTCTCTCTATCTTCATCCCCACCCTCCTGACCGGTCAACGACTCCTCTGTATGTGTCAGCCTTGCTGAATTATTAGGGTCCTTCTGGGTGCACGTAAGCCCGGCGCAGCCCAGACACCTCATCTGGACATTCCAGGCTGCTAATCAAGCACTCCGTCATCCAAGCCGCAGCCATGTGTGCTGCGCTTTGATGTGGTGATGCTGATGTGGGAACACGAATGGCCCCGTGCAGGAGCGGTGAGCTGCACGCCAGCCAGCCCCGCTTCTCCTAGGAGCCTGGGCACCCAGGCAGCCCTCTCAGGGAACTGTTTTACCCTGAGCCCCTCCCTACCTCTGTGGTCCCCTGGCTGGAAGGCACCCCCACCCCTCAGACTGGACTGTGTGCCCTGGCTATGTGCTCATGCACACTGCACTCTAAGTCCTAGCTTTTATGTCCATAGCCTTTACGGTTTTTGAGGTTAAGTTTTTGCCTGCCTGTTTTCTCTGTGCATAGCACAGAGGACAGGACACATGGGCGCACAGTCATTTTTGATGTATAAAAATTGGATGGTTTTGGAGTATGGGCATGGGTTTGAGGAAATAGTCATTCTGGTGCCTTTTGTAGAAGTACTAATTGGCATATATAACTCCTCAGGGGACAATTTGGCAGGACATGTCAAAATTCCAATTTCATTCAGCAAAATATTTTTTGACATTTATCCTATACAGACACATACATATGTGCCAGAAAATAAATTCAATATTATTTACTGAAGCCTTGTTCATATAGCCAAAGACTGAAAACAACCTAAATAAATTCTGATGCATCCACACAACGGAATACTATGCAGCTATGAAAAAGGAGGGAAGTCAATTTGGCCGATATGGACTAATCTCCAAATATACTGATAATTCCAGCAAAGTGCAGAGCAGTATGTACAATAATTTTCTAGTGTGCACTCCTTTTTAAAGAAGGATATATACACATATGCCTATATATGCTATGCTTGTGCGTGCATAGACTATTTGGGGAAGAATAAACAATAAACTGATAATAGAGTGAGGTAGAAGGGATCCATCCTTTCACTACATGTCCGTTTAATACTTTTATAGTATGCACAGCTTTTTTTTTTTTTTTCATTATTAGAAAGGTTAATAAAAACGAAACATAATAAAGATGAAGCAGATTACTGCTGTGGGATGAATGAAGGTAGAACCGGGATTTTGAACGTGGCTGTGTCCTGCTCCGCTTGGGAAGAACAGCATAGAAACACTTTCCAGAGTGTTCCAAGGAACTTGGCATTGAAAAAGAGCACTTAACAGTCACAGCTGCGGCCTGTGACATGCCACCAGCAGAGGGCGCCCCAGCTGGCACGAGGGCCTGCAGGCCAGCGCCAGGGCAACCGGCAGGAACAAGTGTAAACTAGCATCTGGGGGAATATGTAAAAGAGAACGATTTACTAAGAAAAGAACGGCTGTGTGGGGGCTGTGGCGAGCTCATGGCCACAGAGCTGGGGGCTGTGTTTTTGCTGAGGACGCTGTGGGGGAGTAAAAGTGGCCCTGCGGGTGAGGCAACCTCCCTCCTGGTGAACTACTGCTTCCGGCCAAGCGTGCCCACCAGTACAGGAGGGATATCTGCAGCTGCCTCATCAGGACCGTGGTGGTGGAGGGGGGACGAGGGGCTGCACATTAAGGGCTTCGGACAGCGCTGGCCAGCACTGCCTGGGCCCCAGCAAACCGGGGGGCTCTGGGCAAGCTTCCTGCCTCTTCAGGAATCAGTTTCTCATCTACGAAATGAAAGGCTTTGACTAGCTCAGTGGTTTCAACTTTTCTGAGTGGGAACAGCTTTGAGAAGCTGGTGAAAGCTTTGAACTAGTGAGTTCAGAAAAATGCACATATTCTAGTCTTCCCCACCCCCTTACACACACACACACACACACACACACACACACACTCACACACACACACACACACACACACACACACACACACACACACACACTATTTGCAGACAATTTCCAGGGGCTCCCTGGAATTTCCAGGTCCCCTGGAATCCTCCCTGGACTCAGGTTGAGTGTTTTCTGGGCTTGTCTCTTCTAACACGAATATCCTAGTTCTCTGAGACTCATGATTCTTGACACGATTCTTCATGGAAAAGGAAGTTTGCAGAAAAATGAAAGGCAGGCTACTTCCCCATCTGTGGGCCTCTCTCTAGGGGCAGAAATGGATACTTGTCATTTCTCAAAGAAAACACTAAGCGTCTTCTTTTCTTTCATCCCCCTCCTTTTGAGGGTAGGGAAGCATCCTTTTTGCTATTAGCTTTGTTTGCTTTGTATTTTAGTTCCATCTGTGGCGCGGGTCCCAGTAATCTGACTCCAGTTCAGGTCTACAGATGAAAGGCAGAAAAGGAAGTGAGAAGACAAAGGAAGAAAGAAGAAAGTGTGGGTAATGTGTTTCTGCTGGCTTTGTGAGGTGCGCACACCTGTGTGCCTATCTCGGGGTATTCTCTTATTCTCTAGAAAAAATATCAGAGGCCCAGAGAGGTTAGAAGTCTTGGCTGAAGTCACACAGCTCTCAGAGGAATCACACATTCAGCCAGTGGGAAATGGAATCTATTGAGAGTCTGTGTGCTGGGCTCTGGGAATGGGGTGGCGGACAAAAGTTTAGGTTTCTATCTCCATGGAGCTTTCACAGCCTGGTGGGGAGGACAGAGGTAAACATTTCTGTAAATCTTTCCTCTCTTCCTCTCAATGGTGATAGATTCGGTGGAGGATGTGAACAGGGGCTGTGGTAGCAATTCAAGGAGGATGGACAGTCAGCATAGGCTCTCCCAGGAGGGAGGAGGGGCATGCATAAAGAGACTGCTTTTCGAAGACTTAGGAAGTGGGGCCAGGGCTCCAGGCAGAGAAAAAGGCCTCTGAGGTGGGAAAGAATTTGGTTTATTTGAGGGACTCAAATTTGGCTTAGGATGCTGGGGCTCGGTGGCAGCAAAGGGCTGAGGAGGTGGGCAGAAGTCTGATCAATGATCACCCGAGCCTCTGTAGGCTGCACTTCAGAGCCAGATTTTATTCTATGCAGTGTGGGGTGACAGAAGCATTTCAAGCGAATTCACTTCCGGTCCAAAAATATCATTGGCTTTTTAGGGCAATCTCCAGAGCTGAGATGCAAGAAGAAATGTCTTATTATCTCAGTAGTACTCAAAGGGAGTGGTACCATCCACCAGATATTTAACAAATTGGGCAGGAGGACTTTTTTGGTTGAAGAAGAATTGGTGCTAAGCTCTGTTGGTATTGCATGGCGAGCCCCAGGGAAAATAAACATCCGGGAAAGGAGTGAGACAATCCTTTCCAACAGGGAATTGTCCCGCATCCCACCTGATTTTTGAGTATTCCCACCGACTATAGACGGAGGTGGGAAAACCTGGATCCAGCTCCTAAAAAACTTGTTACACATGCACTCAAAGTACTTCTAGCACTTTCCAGAGAAATAAAAGCAATGTTGTAACCAACATGTGCTTATAGATTCGGTAGGTCCGTTCACTGGTGCTCAGCTTTGGGGTCGCCAGCCTCCACAGCGGATTTGCAGCTGCTCCGTCACAGCGAGTCTCCTCATGGGACCCCTGCTTGAGGTCTAAGGCAGTCGTGCTGGAGCTTCACATTTTGAAATTACATTATTATTGAGTCATTGCCTTCCATTCTCCCTTTGTGTGATGTTGTGTTGATTTAAAGATTATTAGGTGGATCAGTTTGTTAAGTCACCTATGACTTTCACTCCCGGATAGTGAAGGGCAGGGAGCACTTTGGCCTAAGGGGGTTTGGGTTGGAAGGCTGGAGGATCCTGCTTGGTATTTGGTCTTGGCAGTGCGCACTGTGGTGACCAGATCGGGGGGTGGGGAAACTGAGGCTGGGAGAGGTTGAAGCACTTGCTTGCTCAAGGTTGCACAGTCCATGCAGAGAGGACCCCGGGATATGAATGACAAAACCAGTCCTTCATCTCTTGGCAATGCTGTGTCGGGGGAACCCAAGACACCCGCTCTCTGGAGCAACTTGCGTGCACACGAGCTGTGAGGGGAGCCCTTACCCGTCCCAGTTCCTTGTCCTCCAAGGCCAGGACGCCGGTGCTCTCTGTGAACAGCTTCACCTTCACAGCAGGCAGTGCGTGGGTCGTGGAGAAGTCGCCCTGGGTGCCCCAGCTGTGGACAGAATGGGAGAGGTCAGTGAGGAGAGCTCTGCCTGGATGATGCTAAATTCAGCTGCCTTCTGCCTGGATCGGGGCGAGTGCAGGGTTAACGGAGGCGGTGCTGGCTGTCACATCCTCCTCCCCTCCCCTCCAAAGGTGCCAGAGTGACAAAAAGTGTTAATTAACTTGTTAGGCGAATGCAAGACAGATGCTCAGAAAGTTGCCACGGGTCTTCACAGAGCACTGGGAGGAATCAGGAGGAGTTAAAGTGGTGAGGACTTTCCCCCATGCTCTTACTACACCTACACATATTCCCAGGTAACCACTAAGGAACATGTCCTCACATCCTCGGAGTCCCTGGTTCTGAGAAGCTGCAGTTCCAGAGTTTGAGATGGGGCTTCATTTGGTCTGAGCCAACACCTGCCTTTAAAAGGAGACTTTAGTAGGAGTGGGAAGTGGGTGTGAGGAGCCTCCTTTCTCTTGGCTTTCAAAGGTGAGTGGGAGAGAAGAGTGGATGGAGCTCAGCCTGTCATGAAAGATGGAAGGAGGGATGTGGGAAAGCCCCTTACTAACTCATGGTCTGTGGGCATCTGAGTCTCCGACCACCCCAGAGGGAAGCCTGGCTTGCCTGGCACAGGGTAGAGTGCCAGGCGGGGCTGACGTGAGCCCCTGATGGGCCCCTCAGATGGGGCCTCTCCGTTCACTCATCACTGTTCCTGCTTGATATTACAGGGCTATGTCCACCCACTCTGTACCTGGAATCAGCGTGACCTTCTGGAAGTGTCCCTGCCTTGAGGGAGTCTCTGTCCTACAGCTTCCAATGGTAGCTGCTCCAAGGCACACCAGATGCCATCCAGACCCCTTGGCATGGTCTCCCATTTACCCGCTGTGGTGCCATGAGCATTCTGTCGGGGCCACATGGGGGCTGTTCCCTTGCTGGCAGCTTCTTCCCACCGCTCTCCTTTTGGTTCTCTCTTACGTTCGCTTAGACACCCTTTCCCAGAGATCATGGCGTAAATTCCAGTGTTAAACTCTCTTACTTAATTAATTATAAAACATGTTATTTAATTTCCTGTCCTGGCAATCACTGGATTTTTAACTGTTGATTTGTATGATTGTTTCATAGTTGAATCCCCTATTATTCTGTAAGTCCCATAAGCACAGAGACTGTGTTTAATTTATATTGATAACTAGTGCTTAGCACCTAGAATGCACTTAATGAGGCTTGTCTAAATGATGCCAAATATATATTCTTTTATAAAGCTATGAATCAGGAAGAGATAAAACTTTATGTAGACGCATTTCTTCATTTTGCCTTCTCTGGTGGCCAATTTCCATATTGTAAAATATTCATTAGCTATTCTTTTTAATCACTCTCTCATACTGTACCTTATGGATACATTATAATTTATTTAATCATTGTTCTGTTATTGAGACTGGGATAGACGTTACTTTTTTATTTCATTTCTGATCATTTCCTTGGGATAGAGACCAGGTGGGAGATAATTCCTTTATGTGTCCATAAACATGAATATTGTCAAGGCTTGAGACACCTATTCCCACAATGCTTTCCATAAAGGTGGGACTGTCCTTCTACCACCTGGGAATGAGAGTGCACATCACAGGGTGTCTTGCCCATCATTGGATGTCCCTAGTCACTTTTTCTTTTTCTGGCTTATTTTGTCATTATCGTTTTCATGGGCATTTTTTGACTAACACAGCAAGCTTGACTATTTTTTTCTGTTCTTTGGTTGCATTTTTTTTGTAAGTGATAGAAATCTGACTTCTAATCTCACTGTTGCACTCAAATAAATTCAAAGTCCTGAGGGCTCTAGAGAGAGTTGGCAAGAGAGCACCAGAACAATGGGGCAAGAACTATGAGGAAACAACAGCCACAATAGAGAAAGGAAGAGGACACAGACAAGGGCATGAGTGGAACAAGAAGTCACAGGTTTCAACTCAACAGCAGAATGTTCAGTGAAGAGTCTTAATTTTGATTGTCAGCAACTGCAGCAAGTCCCAAGATAGGGCAATCTTTGTCCCAGCAAAGGCAATGTGCCAAGGCATAGCATTTTGAACCAGACATCCCTAGTTCAAATCCCGGTTAATCACTTATAAACTGTAGAACTTGAGGCAAACTAATTAATGTTCCTTTCTCTCATTTGCTCAGCAATAAAATAACCTCATTTCACAGAGAAAATAGTAGCAGGCTTGGAACAGGATGAGAACACAACACATTTTGGCCGCCTTCCCTTCTCCGAATAAGGATATGTCAGAAATATTCTTCTAAGGGTGATGATCACTCATATGTTGTGCTATCTACTCAACACACATCTAGGAAGCTCCTAACTAAGTCTGTCCCTTTGCTGGGCAAGCAAGACAGACACTGTCCTTCCTACTACACAAGGTAAGTAGTAAGACAGCTAGTATCGTCCCTATTTCAGAATTTAAAAAAAAAAAAAATAGCTGAAACCGGTTTGGCTCAGTGGATAGAGCATCAGCTTGGGGACTGAAGGGACCTGGGTTTGATTCCGGTCAAGGGCATGTACCTTGGTTGTGGGCATATCCCCAGTAGGGAGTGTGCAAGAGGCAGCTGATCGATGACTCTCTCTCATTGATGTTTCTAACTCTCTATCTCTCTTCCTTCCTCTCTGTACAAAAATCAATAAAATATATTAAAAAATAAATAAATAAAATAACACAATAGAAACTCAAGATCTTGTGTATCTATGTCAATGAATTGTAACTTAGTTGGCCTAGAACACGAATCTCTTAATTCTTAATTTACAGCTCTTGCTTCTATTATTGTCATGATTATCAACAACAAGCGCTATTAATGACTAGAGGCCTGGTGCACAAAATTCGTGCACAGGTAGGTTCCCTAGGCTGGGTCGGCGATCAGGGCTGATCTGTGGGGTGACCCGGTGGGGTGATTGGGCCCCTGCTTGCAGGCCCTGCTCCCTGCCACCACAGGTCAGGGCCTACGGGCTGTGGGCTGTGCCTGCATTGAGCATCTGCCCCCTGGTGGTCAGTGCACATCATATGACCAGTCGTTCCACTGTTTGATTTATTTGCATATTTGGGTTTTATATAGATAGATTAGCAAATAGGCAAAAACATAAGCATTAAATTATTATTTATGATTCATTATGCTAATAATCTTTTTGGGCATTTATCATGGTTGGATATAGGGATGAGGAAGATTCCTGCTGGAAACCAGGACAGTTCTGGAATGAGATGCTTTCACACTGAGCCACCAAGAGCCCTGATCTCAGTGCCTGGGGCTCCCCACACTGCATCCCCAGGAGGCTGTTCCTGGACCTGGTTTGCGGGATTTGGTGGCCTGCTCAGCAGGCACTAGCCCAGTCTGCTTGAACCCCAATACTACCCAATGATGCTCAGTTCACAAGGCATTCATGAAGCAGGGCGAGACCTCTAAGACACCCGGTCAGCTGGAAGGAGGTCACACTGCTGGAGGCCACCCTGACCGCCCCTGGCCATTGGACACTGAGCTGCTTTCCCTTCTCACCAGGCCTGCAGCTGTGCTTTCGACTTCCTACCCTGACCCTCGGCTCACCTCAAGTTGTTAGGTCACTACTGAACCTCCCTTTGTCCATCGGATTTCAAAATGGTAATCTGACCCTGTGCAGCAGCAAGAAGAGAAAGTCTCCAGTCTAATCAGAACTGGCTACATTTCCAGGACCCAGCACAAAATTAAAGTGAGAGGCTCCTAATTCAAAAAGCATGAAAAAAGTGCCATTCAAGGTACCAAGATGTGTAGCATTTTCCTTTCTCTGAGTATTTCCTTTGCCCAAGTGCATGTCCCATTGTTTCATCAAACTTCACTTACAAACACAAGTCTAGGGATGAAATTAAGAGTTTCAAGATGGCAACAACAGAACATTTCACCCAACACAGGTCCTGAGTGTGGGACCTGTGAAGCTACACAGACCTAAGCCCACGAGTCCAGTGCTTTCCGGTTTGTCCCGCCTGGACTGAGAGGTGTTCTGCATAGACCAGGGGAGGGGGCAACAGTCAGAGGCTGTTCTGTGTGGAAAGGAGGGACTGACTGCCACCAATGTGACAGCTCCCTAGCTACGGATGACAAACGGAGGCTCAGAGAGGCTAGCAAAGAGCCACAGGCAGGGAGCAAACACCTGTCTGACTCCACAGCCCACTCTTACCTTGCCTCCATACTGCCTTCCTCACACTCCCCCAATTCACTGCCCTGTGGCTTGATCTGTTTAATCTGTGAACTCAATGGGAGAATTTCGTTTCAAGACCAACTGGACCGGGCTGCTCCAGCCTCTCAGTTTGCATTTGTTCACATGTTCAGCATACATCACAGAGTGCGACATTCCTGCAGCCAAATGAGCTGGTTTGGGAAGTGGCAACCAGCCTGCAGGGCCAGAGTAGATCAGTGAATCTCAGTCTCATTGTGCCGTCCCTCTCAGCTCATTTCTTTCCCTTTGCTATGCACAGGCTGGTTATTAAGATTGAATAGCTCTTCTTCAAAGTTCCCCAAACTGAAATTAAATTAGACTTTGAAGAGGCTGATGGTTGGGAAGGTTAACTGACTGACTTCTCTCTGAACACAGGCAGACCAAGGACAGTGGGTGAGGGGATCCCCTGCTGTGACCCCATCTTGTCTACACTGAACTCACATGGTACCACTAGCTGGCAAAAATGCTAAAAATAGTCACTAATTATTGGGTGCTTATGATTTGCCAGGACCTGGGCTGGTAACTTGTGATAGATTATCTTATTTAATCCTCTGACAACTCCGTGAGGTCTGTTCTGTTATGATCCCCACTTTATAAAGGAGAACTAGGCTTCGGAGAGTTAAGTAATTGGGTCAGGAGTTCATGCTATCCCGGAGCTGGGATTCAACCTCCAAAGCCCATGCATGGAACCCCAGAGCTTACTGCCTCCCCATAACACAACTCAGCTTACAGTGAGTATGAGTGTGTATCTGGCTCTCTCTTTAGAGAGAGAACACCTTGGGGGCAGGGA